TCCATCAAACATTTGAGCCTCTAATTGAAAACCCTTGGTGAGTCAAATTTTGTTTAACTAATAAGAAACACGAAAAAGGTTATTAAGTTATTACAAGACCAACTAGGGAAATTTTCGAAATGAGGGTCAACACTCGTATGTACAATGTAAAACTCTTTGCTTCAATCCCCCCCCCCCCAAAAAACCCCCTCATATTTCTTTATTTGTTTATAAACGTCCAGATGCATTTTTTTTCTTTAATTTAATACAAGTTATTCCTTATAGGATTGCATTTATTACCTCTAGTCCTTTAGGTAAGAATCAATTTGCAAATATTAAAAAAATTAGTTAGGAAAAATCTCCAAAAAAATATCTTTTGAATTTCAAAATTTCAAAGCAATCTTGTTATTACATTTTAATAGCAATTGACTACACTTGAAATGTAAATAACATTATAGTTTTATAGTGATTTCTGATTTGAGATTTTGAAATTCAAGAAGCTTTTTCTTGAAAATTTTCCCAATTAGTTAAGTTAGTTGTTTTTGTAATAAATAAATGTTATCTTTCCTAAAATACCATTATTAATTACATGCATTTGAATTACTCATTGATAGTACCTTCTTAACATCTGTAATCAATATAGAGATTATTTGGGGATAAAATGAATAAATATTAGAGACAAAGTGGATTGAAGCTTTATATTTAGAACCATATTGAATCTCTAACTAATTCTTATATTAAATATTGGAGGTAGTATTTGGCGAAAGAGATTGGAAGAATACTTCTAAAACATGTTACTCCAGCTAACCACACTTGATTTTTGGGTTGTTCCATCTAATCTCCAAGTGAATCTGCGTATGGGTTTCTCAATTGTCCTGCAACAAGAGACCGATAAAAGAGTGGTCTGCATGGCGCATTAAGGAATGGGATTCAGGATAGATTTTGCAGGTGTGATTCGCCCACCAAGAGAGAGGGACTTCGCCTTCCAAGCAGTGAGTTTTTGCTGCACTTTTTCAATCAAATAGGCGTAGGTGTCCTTTGTGACTCGAGTGAAGAAGAGGAACCCCCAAGTACTTCCCTAAATGATTTGTTCTTTGAAACTGGGGTGAATTACAAATAAAGTCGGCTTCCTGCTATGGTATGTTATGGAAGAGGAAGACTCAAGTTTTACTCTAGCACACCATTTGTCCAAAGACTTCATAGAAATCATAGAATACTTTTTGTATGAAGCAGAGTTTGTGTTCGATTGTGCTGCTAAAGAGAATAAGATCATCAGGAAAAAAAAAAAAAGTGTCTTAAAGGGGGGGACATATCTACCAAGATTGGTGGCTTCCCAATTCTGGTTTGAACCTCTTTGTTGATAACTTGAGACAGTCGTTCCATGCAGAGTATAAAAAGGTATGGCGAGAGGAAGTCTTCCTACCCCATGCCTCTTGTTAGTTAAAAAGCTTGAGAAGGCTTCCCGTTCCGTATAATTTGCGTGGTTAGCATGGAGATATAGTGCATAATGAGCCTAATCATTATGGCGGGTAACCTAGCATCTTCTAGAGTGTCCTAAATAAATCTCTAACTAAACTTATCAAATGCTTTCTCTATATCGACTTTTGTGGCTAACCAACTTTTTTCTCCTGCTTTCCTTCTCATTGAGTGAATTAACTCTTGGGCTAGCGGAACGTTGTCTATGATGTTTCTCCTTTTAATAAAACTAGATTGGTAAGAGAGTATGAGGCTTGGCATTAGTTGTTTGAGACAATTCATTAGTATTTTGGATACAAGTTTATAAGCTATCGTGCACAAACTAACGGGGCAAACTTCTTTGATAGTGGAGGGTCTACCAACATTGGGTATAAGACAAATCAAAGTTCTATTCAAGCTTCGTTCTAGCATACCTTTGAAAGGAGACGGCATGTAGTCCATCTAGACCAGGAGCCTTAAGCGGGTTCATGTCAAATAGGGCTTGTTTCACTTCATCAACAGAAACATCAGCATTTAAAAGGTTCCAAGAAGTCGGGCAAATTGTTAGGAACATACTTCTATGTTGATAAGTAGCAGCATTCTCTAGTGGTGCAGAGTAGAGTTTTATGAAAAACTCTCGCTGTATTTTCAAGCTCCTGTTCATCTGAGGTCCATTTCATACTGCTATGTCATCTGCTTGTCTCTTGCCTCTTGCCAACAGAAAAGAAGTCATCCATTTCCCACTTAGACTGACACGTGACTAGAGAAATGAGTGTAAAAGGATATATTAAAAAATATTTATTCTAATAAAAATATATTATCAATGTCATGCCTTTCAAAATTTATATGGAAATGGAGGAGGCCCACTAGTTATTTTTTGGTTTATATCATGGTATTAAAATCCGGACCAGACTGGCCGGTCTGGACCAAAAACCGGTGAATTGGTCACTTGTTCGGTCCGATTCTTATCTAAACCTAGCGAGAAACTAACCCGGACCAACCCGTTTTGAACTGCTGTAACCCGGACGCAACCCGGGAAACTCGTTGGGTCAGATGGGTCACCGAGTTAATGTTTCTTTTGCCTTCTAAGTTTTAAGGGTGATATCATGCCCTAATAGAAATGAAGAAAGCTTGAAGAAGATAGAGATAGAAGCATATTAAAAAAAAGAAAAAAAGAAAGAAACTAAAAAAAAAAGGAAAAAAGATGAAAAAAAAATTACCTAGCATAGTAAATGGTGGTTAATAGAAAGAGAGAGAGAATACTAAATCGTTGATGAGAGGAAGGAAAAAAAAGCCGAGCAAGCCTGTAGAAGACGGAAGAAAACGAAGAGGAACTGGAAAGGAAGAAGTGCGAAGGAAGTAGATGCGTGGGGAAAAAGGGAATATGTAATGTTTAGTCTGCTACGTTAGAAAAAAAACAAAATTCTGAAGAGTCAAATAAAAAAATTTAATGCAGAAAAAAAATCCATATTCCAATGCGTCTTTAGTTTGCTAGGCTGCAAGGATATTTAATGTATAGGTATAGCTGTAGTCTAACTGGTGGAAAAAATACAGGTCTAACAACCATTGAAAAAGTAGTTTTTAGAGATTGAAGTTGAGTAAAAACTAAATTGGATAAGTTGAATTCGTATTTGGATTAAAGTTTAGAAAAGTTAGTTTGCAAAAGTGAGATTGATAAAAGGTTGTTTGGATTATAGTTGAGTAAAAATAAGTTTAGTTGTAAAATGATCAAAATAGGTATGAGTTTTAATAAATAATGAAACATGATTAAAAAAATGATTTCACATAATACAATGAAATTAAAATAATTTAATATAAAGAAGTCAAATTTAATGAGTAAATTAAATTTTAAAACTTTAGAAAAATTATAAAAAAATATTTTAAATATAAAGTGAAACATAAAAAAAATAAAAAAATAGTTCTATGAGCATATTTAAAAATAAAAGTATATTTCTAATTTATTTATTACTTTTAACTAATTTTAACTGATATTTTGTTATCTACAAATTAGTTATTTGAGGCTTATAATAAGAACCAAAGGAGGTAATAAATTTCTTAACTTTTTCTCTCTCCATGTTTCAAAAGCTATAAGTCATAAGCTGTTAATTTTAACTTATAACTTATTTAGCTTTTCATACAAAAACCAAATTACCCAATCGCTCAACCAAAAAGCATTAAAATTTGCAATCAAGCTTTTCAAGCTTATAAGCCACTTATTGGTCCTGAAACGCTGAGCCAAACAGGCTCTAAAGCTATTTATTCTAATCTCTCACGGTTTACTTTTATTTAAAAATAAAATTTATGTTTACTATAAATTTTTTAAAATCAAAAGATTTTACAAATATTCATTTTTATTAATAAAGATTGTTGTATTTAGCATGACTGTGTTATTATATTTTGCCACTTATTTATATTATTTAAAAATTTTATATTATTATTTTATTATTATTATATAATTAAGAATTATATTATCTTTATTATGATTGGTCTGATCCCAATTTGACTTCTATCTAACCCACTAATTATTAACTCACTGTCCCAATCGATTCACTAATCGGTCTGGTTTTGAATACCTTAGTTTATATAAAAAGTTTATATGGAAATGGGGCTGTTAGTCTTCTGATGTTTTTTTTTGGGTGCTTTGATTTTTTTTCCCCCTTTATTTGAAGGCGTAACAAACCGGCTCACCCGTACCTATACAGGCCTATTTTTTGTGGGCTCATAAGAGCTTGTAACATGCGCGGGCTAGCCCATATCTGGATAAAAAAATCTATGAGTTCATCCCGCCATTACACACCCCTAATTTAATGAATTAGATCGACATATAGAGGTAAAAATAACTTTAAAATATATGTTCATTAAAAACTAAGGAGAGTATAGTTTAAAAATAGAGAAAATAGCAAATAAAGACCTCCCAATATGTGAAATTGCAATTTAAAACCCTCAATTTGGAAAATAGCAAATAAAGACCTAGTCCCATATTGCAAATATAAAATCTTGACAAAATATCTGAAATGCCCCTAAGCCAAGTTGTGATTTAATCTATTGAAGTTGTCATTCACTAAAGTGAACTTGTCATTTCCCATAGTCAACTTGTCATTTGATATATCCTCAACCAAGTTGTGATTTGGTCTACTGAAATTATCATTTACTAAAATGAACTTGTCATTTCTCATAGTCAACTTGTCACCTATCCGAGGGGCATTTCAGACATTTCACTAAAATTTTATAGTTGCAATATGAGACCGGGCCTTTCTTTACTACTTTCCAAATTGAGGGTTCCAAATCACAATTTCACATATTAGGAGAGTCTTTACTTGCCATTTTTCCTTAAAAATACATGTTTCAAAACCCAAACAAACTCCTAGCTGGCCACATGAAACTCAAAACAACCCCTTAAATAACTCTTACATCATAGAACTAACCCAAAAAAAAAGAAGATATTTTAAAAACTTTCTTAACATAATTTTGTCAAGTTTAGTCCATAAAATTATTTTATCAAAGCATGATATCGGGAGGAGATATAGCAGAGCTTAGCTAGCGTTCATAGACAAAAACCCAACACATGATAATCTGAGATTGCTACATTACTATGGCCAAAGAAAATCAAAACAGATTGCTACAAAATTGAAAAATAAATAATGAATAAACAAGTCTCCAGAAAAATCAGGCTGCATAATGAACATAAGCATTTCATGTAGAGAGACCCTGTGACCTGAAAACGAAAGAAAGGAAGACTAATGCTATAGTTTACAGTTACATAATACACAAGGAAACTTTCTTCCATCTCCATTACAGTTGCTTGCGATGTAGACAGAAGCAAGGTTGTTTTAGAGATATGGGACAGTAACGAGAGAGGCAATTAAAAAGAAACCAATTGAATGACGTTTTATTCACTAGGAGAAGAGATTTTCTTGTGCTTTCCATGTCTTTCCTTCACTTTCTCGACCTTACCATTTCCATTATTCTGGTTGCTTACAGACCCCTCTTGTGCACTGCACATCTGAGACTTTAGCTTGAACCCAAGCTTCTTAGACACAGTTCCCCACGCACTTGATCCCTTCGACCGTCCTAGTTTCTCGATCTCCTGCCTCATGTATGAGCACTCTTTCTCAAGCTCTGATACCCTCATCCTCATGCTATCCATGCCCACTTTCAAAACTTGGTTCTCTCTCACTGCTGTTGCCCATCCTCCCTCATTAGAACCAGCAAAACCGCTTCTTAACTGTCTCGATCCGTCAAGATTATCTGAAACCAAAAAGCAACCAGCAATGGAAGTCCTAAGCTGGAGCTGCTCAAAAAACAGAACTTGAACTATTATTCTAAGGGGTAGCCTCTCATTTTGTGCAGCATGGGTACATGCTTCTAACGAGAGCTTCTGGCAGTCCATCAATCTGCAAAGTTGCTCTCTCTCAGACTCCGCCAACCAAGGGTGAGACTGCAGTTTGGGAAGATAAAAGTGAATCAGTCCATACCGACAAAGATTTTATCAAGCCCATCATTCAATCCAAGAGAGAAGACATGCAAGTCAACTAGTGAAAATATTAACCATGAACAACAGAATCTGATTTAAGCAATTTGATTGTATGGATGGTGGCGTATGAGATACAAGCACCGAGAGTTTAAATAACACAAGTAATAAAATACAAGATAAAAACTAATAACATGATCATAGGCCTAGATATGCCTCACTTGTGGCAGGACGTAAGCTAAATATAAATTCCAACATCTTTAATCCAACATGCACAAGATGATCTTAAATGCCAACAACTTGTTCTATGTCAATACCTTTAAGTAAATGTCTATAGCACGGTATAGGCCATCATCCAAGGGCCTGGCATACTCTGGCACAGCAGCAGCAAGAGCTTGAAATTTGGGAAGCTTCAAGTTAACATCTGGGGCAACCTCTGCCAGGTAACCATCAATAAGTTTGGCTGCCATGGTGATGGGTGTCAGCGAAGGTGAACCAATCAACTGACCATCTTCAATAGAACATGGAGAGGCATCACCAGCAACCTGATCCATGGCAAGGAAGTGTTCAACAATTCTCTGCACACAGTCAACATTGTAAAGGGTCTCCATTGAATGTGAGAAATTAGGCATCAAGAGATCATCTAGAGTAGCTTGATCAAGCTGCATCCCAATCCGTTTCTCTAAATTTGATATGCATGAGGGGTTTACTCGAAGTATCATGGCAGTTCGAAGTAAACCAGACAAGAAACTTGTTGGGACTAGACCCTTCTGCATAGGGAGTAACTGGGCAATCTCCTCTAGCAGAGCTTTCTGGTCTTCTTCAGATGGAGGAGACCCTAAAGATGCTGCTGCTAATCGAGCACTGGACTCACCAGAAACTTGACGTCGATTTAACCCAGGCAGGTATGTTTTAGCATAGAAAGCAAGGGAACCGGCGATTATCTCCTGCTTAATGCCACGTGATTCCATGACTTCTACCAACCTCTTGTAAAGTGACAAACTCAGAGTTGATACATCCTCATACCACCAATCTGAATTTGAGTTCTTTGGTCTTGCCCCGGTACTTATCCCATTCCACAAAACACTTCCACCAGGGCTCTGCATTTGCCCACCATGTTCAAGAACTGGCCACCCAAATAGATTTGGATCAGTAGATGCTTTCGCAGCAAGTGACTCAATGCACCTTTTTGTGATGTTGAGCTCCTCAGCATAAGGCATGGCATCATCAGAGGTTTGAAGTGCCTTCAGAGAGTCCTTCCAACTTCTATGGACCACTTGGTTGAGGAAGGTTTCTGTTTGTGAAATTAGATTAACTTCACCATATTCCTCTGTCATTTCAAGACACTCAGCAGCACAACGGAGGTACACTACATTAGAGGCGGTAAGTTCAAGTTTCACACCATAACAGAATTTTGCAACGAGTTCAAATGTTTTTGCCCCTCCAGGAATGCCAGGGATGTTTATGGTACATTCATCCTCTGCTTCAGAAGCTTCAGCAATCAGTCTTTCCATAACTCCACTTCTAGAGAGCAAAGGGAACTGCATTAAATGACATATGAACGCAAATGAAATTATGATTTGGTATGATTATCTTAAACACCGTATCATCTTAATAATCCTATACAGCATTCATGCCTAACCAGACAAGGTAAATAGTGAACAACACACAATTTGGAAAGGAATGCAAATAACTCCAAGGTAGTACGAAGCAAATAAATCAGAAACGTGTAGTATCAGTACAAACCAGACATATTTAATTATAGTTTCTGTTTTGCCTACAGAACCCAGCCCAACAACAGAAAAATCAAGTTTTCTTGCTCCACTTAGAAGTTAAAAGAATGCCCCAGAATGGATAAGATATAATTTGTTACAGATGCATTCACATACTTTCAGCCAAAAATATCTTCATGTAAGATTTGGTACATATTTCCAAGACAAAACTGGACCTAAACTGAGCAAGACATCCAAGTAAACTAAAACGAACCTCCCACATATATATAGCATATCAACTGGAAGAAATAAAAATGTTAAAGATATAGGTACCTTGTGAAGGTGGAAGGACATCTCCTCAACTTCAACAACTATGTCACTAGGAAGCCCAGTGGTGCAGAACCTAATGATAATAACAGATTCATGAGTGATCTTATATCATCTTAAGACAAAACTTACTTTTGTTTTGAGAAAAATAATAGAAACAGTGCAATTAAAATCATGTGGTAGTTACAAACAGGTAGTTCTCAAATCTGTTTCTTTTATATTGGCTTACATTAAGAATCATCATCATTAACTTTGACTCTTTATGTTTGCATAATATTAAAGTATTACTTGACCAAAACACAATCTGATTTATCTCTGGTATTCGGACTTCAGAATCAGAGAGAGTGTATTATGACATATACTCAACCTGATCAACAGCAGAAAATAAGAAGCATGCTGAAACGAACAGAGAAGGTAATCTCATACATGCCATGAAGCATATATAAACAAAATGATGATGCAATAAATCATTGGAAATTTCAGTTACTGAGATCTAGTGCAGCAATGCTCAGTACATTTGGGAAAGAGTAAAGCAAAGAGTATTTCTGTAACACACTTCCTCTAACAAATTCCTTATTTTCCATCTATCTCACTCTAAACACACAATAATTCACGCGCTAATTGCAAATAACCCAGATCCTTCATAGTCCACTAGGCACCAAGCAAACGAAGATTCGTCATAGGGAGACCCATAAAGTACCATAAAACAGTACGCTTTTCCAATATCAATATTTCAAGCTAAAGTCCATTAAGTTAAGGACCATTAGCAACCATTAATTTTCAAATTGAAGAATTTAATAGTTTAGGAGCAGATAAATGTACGAGTCCTAAAATTTTAGAAGCAGAAATCTCTGTAGGAAGCATAAGAAGATGGGGTACATACCAGGCCTGCCCATGACGCTGGAATGCCTCTGCTTTAGAACCCAATTTCATGCAAGCCATTTCCTCAAATGCAAGAAGGAAGAACTGAACAACAGAGTTCGGAATAAACTTTATCAAATGCTTTTCAAAATCCTCGAATCAGTTTATTATTAAACTTATCTCCCTCAACCTCGAAGTTGCTTCAAAATGCAGCTTCTTCCCGATCTCTTTGCTTTGCCGAATCCACCAGGAGATTTAACCCAAGACATAAACACCTTTAAGAGATAAACAAACCCTAAAGGGCCAAAGCCACATCAATAGAGCAAACCCAGAAACATTTCTAAATCGACAGAAAAACAAAAATCCCCTCAAATCAAACT